AAATAACATTTTTCATCCTGTTTCCTCATATGTAAGATTTGAAAAAAATAGTACCTATACCTTTTGAATTTGCTATGAAAGATAAAATGAGGTAATACACACCAAGTATCAGTGTCTGGTGTATGTACTCAATACCCATTATTAAATTATTTTAAAATAGTTCATGTTTAAATATCAATTCATGGTTAAGTCTCATTAAAGTTCTAACATAAATTTCAGAAATATGCCAGGCACAGTTACATGCACCTATAATCCCAGCTACTTGGGAGGGTCAGGTGGGAGGGTTGCTTGAGCCCAAGCGTTCCAGATCAGCTGGGGCAACATAGTGAGATTCCATTTCAAAAATAAATAAAAATTATTTTTTAAAAATGCTCAGAAATAAAACAGAAAGCAATGTGTATTTTAATGTGAATTTCCTATAATACAGACGTAATTTGTGTTTAGGTCCTGGCCATTTAATTTTGAGTGAACACTGATTTTACTCTTTTGGCACATTACAATAAATTAGAGGAAGGGCTCTGAATGTTTATTTCAGCAAATATTCATGAGTGTCTATGATGTGCTAGAAACTGTACAAGGTATGGCACTATGAAAAGTAATGTCTCCCCTCAATGAGCTTACGGACTATTGGAGAGGCAAACATATAAAAGTAGATGAGAAGTGTGCATCTAATGAGGTATATAGCACAGAAATGTGGCATTAGCCTAGCCTAGCAAAAGGGTTAGGGAAGGTTTCCTGGAAGAGATACATGAGGAATAAGCAAGATTCAACCAGTTGAACAAAGTAGCAATTAGAACTTTGTAGGCAAAGGAGACAAAGATAATGCGAGCGTTCACATGGACAGCAGAATAGATGGAGAAGAGAACAAAAGGAATTCAATGTGATTTTGGAGTTAACAATTGGAAAAACGATTAAAAAAAAAAAACAGCAATTCAGCTAGTTTAAAAGAGATAAAGCCATAAGGGTTTGTATACCACAAAGCTCTGTACAAGTAACAGGTTCTCATCATCAATGCCACTGAAGAAACTGTAAGTGACTTATAATTTATTACTTTTAAAGTAGATGTAGTTACCTTGGGTTTATGAAAATAAAATCTGTAAAACCCAAGAACTTGGGCAGATAAAATTAGTTTTACTAAATGATTTAGTTTTTAAATTACCAGTCTTTAAGTTGATGTCTCTCTAGTTATTTTGGTTGTTATGAAGTTCTTTGTCTAGTGGATTCCCTGGCAAGGGTTCACGGGAATAGTATTCCCTGAGTTCTTGCATTTGCTAAATAGTCTGTGCCCTCATTAAGTCAGACTGGTAGGATACAAAACCCTCATCTCACACTTTCTTTCCTTGAGTATCTTTCCTGACAAAGTTTGATGATAGCGTAATTTTCTTATGTAAGTCATGCCCTCTTATTTCCAAGATTTCCAAAAATAGAATATTTTTTTTCTTTCAAGTCCAGTAATTTTATCAGAATGTGTCTTGATATTCTTCATTCTAGGTTGATATCCTCAGGTACTTGGTATGTTTTTTCAATATGTAGTTTCAAATTTCATTTTATCTTAAGACATTTCCTTTGCATGATAGTTTTATGGTATTTCTTCTGTTCCCTTGCTTTGGGACTCTTGTTCATATGTTCATTCTCCTTTGTTCATACTCAATGTCATTTTCTCTGAACTTGTCTTACTTTTTAATTACAAAATATTTTTTGCCTTCTATTTTTAAGGCAGTATCTGTTTGTTCTTATGTTCCTTCTAGTTTAGTATCCATTTCTGAAATAATTTTTCTTTTAATTCTTTTCCTGAGCTGTAACTTCATTTCTTAGTTTTATTAATGCTGATTTATCTTGTTCTTTTATATTTTGTACCATTTTCTTAGTATCTTTCAGCTTGTTTTGAAATACGAAGTTACAGTTTTTGACTTGTAGGCACATTTTTCTGGCATGATTTCATTGTCTTTAGGAATACTGTTCTGCTTTTATTTTTTCTTTTAAAATTGTACAGGATTTGACCTTGATACTTCCTGTTGCTCATTTTTATGTGAAATTAGTTTTCTTCAACTTCTAGAATGAGGTGTGTCAGGTTAGTTTTTCCAACTTCAGAGCTCCCTCTTCTGTTGTTTTTTTGTAGTGTTCAAAAATATAGAAGTCTGCATTCTGGGCTTTCCAAGTTCTGTTCTCCCCTCCACCTGGATCTGGTCCTTCCCTTTCCTTTATTTCTCATGTTCCTATCCTGCTCAATTTTCATTTCATTTCCCATAATTTCTCTTCATTATGGGCTCCTGTCCTGGAAGGGAGCCATAATGGGTCTATTTTTAAGAGCTTGAGCCCCTTTAGTACTCTTTAGTGCAGGCATATTGCAATCACCTGCTTTAGCAGAGGGCAAAATCCCTTAGTTTCAACTTTGGCCCACTTTGCTTTCCAGTGAGGACCTGTTACTATTTTCTCAGTGCTATCAGATGCTAACTGTGTTGCTTGCTGTTTCTTTCACCACAGATGCTGACATCATGTAGGTCCTGAGGTTGTCGGTGGTTTGTCCCCACCAATGTGTTTTGGGGTTGGTGAGGATATATTGTCACCTAGCTTTGTTACAAGTAATAATCATCAGTTTTTGTTTTTTTTTGAGACAGAGTCTCACTGTGTTGCCCGGGCTAGAGTGCCATGGCGTCATCCTAGCTCACAGCAACCTCAAACTCCTGGGCTCAAGCGATCCTACTGCCTCAGCCTCCCAAGTAGCTGGGACTACAGGCATGTGCCACCATGCCTGTCTAATTTTTTCTATATATTTTTCGTCGTCTGATTAATTTCTATTTTTAGTAGAGACGCAGTCTTGCTCTTGCTCAGGCTGGTTTCAAACTCCTGACCTCAAACAATCCGCCCGCCTCGGCCTCCCAGAGTGCTAATCATCGGTTTTTAATTTGGCTATCTAGTTAAGTTTTTCTGGAAAATCAAAGAGATTCAACTATGCCTTCTGATACCACTATCTTCCCAGAATTTCTAACATTTCTTTTTTCCTTTAACATCCATTTTGCTAGCTACAAGCAGGACCTAGACACGCAGCTTGATAAAAGTCAGAAGATGTAAGTTCTAGTTTAATTTAGGAACGTATTAATAACAAAATGACTGTTATGTTTCTGATTGCTTAAATAGGAAAAGATTATCAAATTCACTACAGAATCTTTAATTTGACCCATATGAAATTGTTTTTGATGGTTGATTGATGGCAATTTTGCATGGTTCAACCAAATACATACTGATATCAAGTCCTTTCAGATTACTGAAAATAGACAATACAAAATTTTAAGACACTAACACTAATAAAGGACATAGTATCATTTCTTTTTTCCATTTTTTTCTTTTTTTGCCTACTGTTGCTACCTCTGAAGATTTTTCTCTCTGTATTTCTAAAACTAATGCTTTAAATTACTTGGCACTATTCCACTTTCCTACCTTATCAACTCTTCATGTTGCATCTTTAGTAGAGATTTAGCCTCTGCTCATTTCTCTCAAATGTTATGTCCTCATTCCCTTGACTTTTCCCTTTAGACTTGAGCTCTAGGCAAGGTCCTCTGCTTTTTGAGGATTTAGCAATGTGTGCATGTGGACAACACTAAAATCTCTTGCTATTCCCTCTTCAATTAAATTCCATATGACATTCTTATCAGTTATTCCCAATACTTTTCCCAAACAACTTTCCTTGCAGGGAATGGCTTTATGCCATTCTTGCCTCAGATAACTTCTAGTGATTAATCTCTCTTGCATTTACTTTTATACCAATGCCCCTTCTGTGAGAGCCACTTATAGCCAAACTCTTAGATCAGTCTGTTCTTTGCTCCTCACTGACAAAAAGAACTTCCAACAGGTCCACTTTAATGATCAGTTTACTCATTTTACCTGTTCTCACTCCTGTGTTCACAGCAAACATATACCCCTCCCCAACGCTTACACATACAAATTCCTAATTTGTATTTCAAAGATACTTAGTGATTCTTCAGTTACCTATCAACTCATATGCTGAGTTAATAATACCCAGGATTGTAATCTATTTGCAGATAAAGGTGTCTGATACATACTTTTGTAGTCAAATACCGAATTAAAAACCATTGACATTTAAAGTATTAACCCCTACTACATCAACCACCATAAAGTGCTCATTAACGTATACTAGAACATGCAATAGGTACAGCTTTTAGTACTTTCACAATATATAGCAAAGACTCACTGCTTACTTCAAGAAAAAAATGGGAAAAAAAGCAAGACTGGTATGAAAACAAATTTTACAGAAAATTCTGTACTAATGTACAAATAATGTAATGTTCTATGATAGATTTTTCTGCATGGGTATTCAGTGACTTCCTGAGGAAAACAATCGATACAGTAGGTTTAAAAAAAATCGTTCACATTGTAAAGCAAATTTAAAACTCATTTCAGGATTTCCCAGAGAATGTTTCCATAAAGTAAATTCCACCAATACAGAAATAAGAGAGCATAACAAAAAAGTAACATCTATGGACCCATATGCATTTCTATAAAAAAGTTATTTGTTGCTGCATAAGAACTATATTGCAAATTTCTATAGGAAATGATCGCCATTGGTTTCATACCAACTGTTCTGAGGCCACAAGTTTAAGGAATTTTTTGATGAAGTCAATGAGTCCTTGGATGGTTCGGGTTCGCTCCACAGCCCACTTCTTTGTTTTCATAATAGGGGTGTCTCCAACAGCCTTTAGCAGAATGTCAACTGTAGAAGAAAAAAAAAATTACTGACAATTACACTGAAACATCTAAAGAGAATGTGATATAAAAGACTTTAGAAAACCTTAATCTTTAATCTACATACATGTTATATATTTATGATACTGAAGATATTAGGTCATTAAACATGAATGTCTGATTTCAAATCAAAAGTGTAGTTTATTATATGTAAAACAAGAAGCAGTACAATTAATCAAAGTATGCACCTAACTCTCAATAGTTTTGTCATCTTAATGGTAGCTTGTTTATGCCAGCAAAAAAGAAGCCTGGAGAGCAAGTGACGATGAAATCACAAAAGGTGTTTTCCACAGCTTGTTGAGAAATGAGTATTTTTCCTTGCAAGAAGTGGTCCAAAGCCTGGAAGAAGTGGTGGTCAGTTGGTGCAAGGTCTGGTGAATACAGTGGATGACAAAGAGTTTCCAAATCCAGGTTCTGTAGTTTGAGCAGCGTTGTTTTCTGTGACATGTGGTCTTGCAAGAGGATTGGCCTGTCTCTATTGACCAATCTTGACTGCTTAATCCTAAGCATCCTCATCATTTTGTCCACTTGGTTGCAGTACACATCTGCTGTAATCGACTCACCAGGTTTTATGAAGCTGTAGTGGATAATACCAGCACCGGACCACCAAACAGACACCATTAGCTTTTTTTAAACAAATATTCGGTTTTGGACTGTGTTTCAGCACTTCATCTTTATCCAACCATTGTGCCAAGTGCTTGTGATTGTCAAAAACATCCATTTTCATCACATGTAACAAAACGATGTAGAAACAATTTGTCATTATGTCATGACAGCAAAAAAAGGCAAGCTTCAAGACTACTTCTCTTTTGACGCTTGTTTAATTCATGTGGTACCCATCTATCCAGCTTCTTTACCTTGCTTATTTGTTTGAAGTAGTCCAGTATTATAGGACTAGTAATGTCAAACTTTGCTGCTAATTCACATGTAGACTGAATGGATTTGCTTCCACTACAGCTTTAAGCTCCTAATTATCCACCTTGGTCTCAGGTCACCCACATGGCTCATTTTCAAGATTAAAATCACCAGAACAGAACTGCTAAAACCATTGATGTACTTTGCTTTCATTAGCCTTCCCAAACACTTCGTTGATATTTTGAGCTGTCTGTGCTGTGTTGGTTTCATGACAGAACTCATATCAGAAAATAACAAGAATTTTTGACTTATCCATGGTTTCACAAAAATTGCTCTGGAAAAAAAACTTTCAAAGATAATCATAAGCCAAAATATGCATTGGAAAGAATGAGAAGGTGCCTTCACAATAAAAAACAAAACAACAACAACAAAAAAGTATCAAAGTGAAATGTCAGAGATATCAACTGTCAAACTTAGTACTTAAGGAAATCAGACATTCCGTACTTAATAACCTAATATATCGGAGATATAAAAATGATGAGTCTTTTTCATCATTTCTTTTTCTTGATGCTACAAAGTTCTCCCCAAGGGACTAATCTTTAAAATGCATTTTAAAGATTCTTCCAAAGAGAAGAAATAATAATTAATCAATAAAGATATGCAGAAAACAGCAAAGTAAAATAACATCATGACCATTTTCACTGACCAAATAGGTAAAGATCAGAATAGTGTAGATCATACTCGTGTTGAGAATATAAAATGGTATATACCCTTTCTGGAAAGCAATTATGTTAACAGATCCCAATACTTAAAGATACACTTTGATTCTGTAACATTTCTAGGAATTTAGTCTAAGAAAATAGGAGATGTGTAAAGATTCAGTTAGAAAGATTTCACCTTCGTTTAGGCATTTATTTTTATAGAAAAAAATTGGTAAACCTAAATATCTAACAAGGATATTATACTCTACCATATAATGTAGTAAAGAGCACATACTCTAAATTGCCTGGGTTCAAATCCTGGCTCAACCACTTGCTAGATGTGTGTATGTAGGTATGTATGTACGTGTGTCTATGTATATACCTGGATAAGCTTTTTAATCTCCCCATGCCACAGTTTCTCCATTTGTAAAAGGGAATGATAGCACCCACCTCGTAGGGTTGTTGTGAGAATTAAATGAGTTAATACATGCTTAGAACAGTATCCAGCACATAACTCATACTTATTGAACCTTAAGATTATTAAGCAGCCATTAAAGAACACATTATAAAATCATATTTAACAGCAAAGTTAGCAAAATTCTAAATAAAAAGCAGCATGTATATTATCTCAATTTCATTAAAACAATCACAAAAACATTCACATAAATATAGAATAATATGTACCAAAACGTTATTTCTCAGTGTTAACATTACAGGCAATTATTTGGTTTTACTTATGTTCTTTGTAACTACCAAATTTTCAATAAACTTAAAGCAGTAAGTTATTAACAATAAAATACAATAACCAGGGGACAAAAAGTTTCAGAGACAAGGCATAAGGTTTCAGTGATCCAAAATAGAGATATGCAAGCCCAAAGACTATGAATATGTCTCTTGACATTATGTTTTATTTCAAAATATTAATTAAGGATTTCTCTTGAAGTTATTTTGCTTAAAAAAACCCAAAAAACTATGATAAAAATCAAAAAACACTGAAAGCAAAATAGTGCACTGCTGCCCCCTAAAGTTTATTCTATTACATCCTTCTTTCCCCATTCCTTGGGTATTAAAAGCTGGGACCCAATGGGGGTCAGAGATCAATTTATTCATGTTTACTCCTGAAATGAAGTCACGTAAAACACGTGACGCAAACAGTATCTTCCTACTAAAGAACTACTTAATTACCCTAGCTTCAGTTATTTTAGGAATAGGAATAAATCTGGAGATAACAGAGAAGCTTTTGGTTAGCCTTTTATACCTCCCTTCCCTGCTCCCTCAATACCCTGGGGCTACCAATAAAATAACTCAGTTAATGCAATTAGGCATTTCAAGAAAATGAGACAGAAATATTATGAGATGTACTACTGAAGGAAGAAGAAAGGGAGGGCAAGAAGCTAGAGAAGGAAAAGTATTTTAATTATAGCTGCACTCTCCTTTTAAATTTTAAAGGTGATCTGCTTGTAGTTCTTAAGTCTGGTTACACATTAGAATCAACTGGGGGAATACGTAAAATATAGGTGTCCACACAAATCAAAATCTTTCTGGAAGTAGGGCCTTGGCACTGGTATGTTCAGTAGCTCCCCTAGGTGACCAAATGTGCCCCCAGGGCCAAAACTCTGGTCTGTTCAAACAATTTTTCTTCTGTAGATTAAAAAAATGTGAAGCACATGAAATGTTAATAGTTAAGCTTCTTTCATCAGACTATCCTCAACAAATGACAGCAATTTCAGGGTAGGAAATCAATAGCTAGACCCTAAGTTTTACATTGGGGAGGCGAACTCAAAAGCTAACAGGAGCCAAAAAATAAAAATCTGAATTTTAAATGACAGCTCAAGTTGCAAAAAATATTGTGCAGACCAAAGAAAACATGCCCTCAGACAACAGATGGGATGTAAGACACTGCTTTTTGGCCTCCGTTTGACACAGTTATTATATTATCAGGGTCAAGTAATAAGCTTTTGACTAAGACTGTTAGACCTTAAAACAACAAACCCTTTGAAAGTACGCTCGTGCTTATGGTATATTGGAATCAATATACATCAAAATTTGGAAAACATTTGAAATAGATGTTTATTTGCCGCTTTTTTCCATAGGCAACTCTAACTCTACATAGTGTGCTTCAAAATAGTTAACTTTAGAAATTTCTGTATTTTACAATGGCATACTAGTTCTCAAGCAATAAAGACTTGAAGACAGCTAGTTCAAGCAATGAAATAACTCCCTTACAAAGATTCCACAATGGTTTTTTTTTTCTTATTAAGGCAATGCTTATGCCTTTGGTTTTCCCTTAGATTCTTCATATTGGTTAAGATTTCAGGTTTTTGGTTCAAGGAGTAAATTTACACTCAATGGGGGTGGGCAAGCGAAGTAGTCTGAAGGCGTGAATTCTAATTCAGGCTTTGCCACTGACCATCCCTACACCACCGTAAATTATTATTTGAATAATTAGCTCCTGTGTTTAGTACATGGAACTACCGAAATCCCACTCAGCTCCCTCATTCGAAGAGCTAACAGTCTGGCCAACTCAAAGGAACATTAAAATACAGTGTAAAAACTGGTGTGGCAGCCAAATACGGGGCACAACATCTATAGGACACCTAACCAAGCCAGAAATGACTTTGAGAGAAATTCAACTCAGAGATTTGGAAAATTGGAAAGTGCACTTTCACTCTTCTGAGGACTGGTTAAAAATGCATGTCTGGGACGAACCCTCCTCAATTTTGCTTTGCTGGCCGCCACCCCTGGTCGGATGCAATCCGAACCCCCGCCTCTCTGCCCAGAAACTGCTCTCAAAATTACTTTTTTTCTTGGTGTCTCCAGCAGGTTCCTCTGTCCCCGGGGAGACTGCAGCGGAAGAAGGGGGTTCCGGAGTGGCTGTTTCTGGGGAGACGTCCGTAAGTCCTTCGCCGCCAGCGGCACTTGAGGGAAGTAGCTGCAACACAGATTCTTGCTCCTCCGCCATCTTGCTCGCTGGGAAGCGGGACCGGAAGTGGCGGCTGAGCGCGTGCAGCGGGCAGGCTTTGATCTTGGGAGCGTCGCAAAGGAGGCGCCGAAATAGGGGACTGAACCCAACAGTGAAAGTTGGAGTTTCCTACTAGTCCTCCATACCCAAACTGTCGCAGACCCCTGACAGTTAATATCATATTTACTGTTTTTCTGCAGCAAAAAACCTAGGAAGGGCGGCCATGAGCAATACCCCCGCACCCCGCCGAGTGCACGGGCGCCCCTCAGACGAGTGGGCTCGGACCTGGAAACGTTTCCGCTTCCTTCCGCTCCTGCCCCGCCCAAGCCCCGCCCCTCCCGGGCTCCGCCCAGCGGCTCGGGAGCGCGCTCGCGCGCGTGCGGGAGGGGGCGGGTGGGGAAAGATCGCCGGCGAGATCCCGAGGCGAGGCTCGCGCGCCCGCCCCCGCCCTGGCCCCCAGCGTCCACCTGGTCGGCCCGGCCCAGCCATGATCAAGGCGATCCTCATCTTCAACAACCACGGGAAGCCGCGGCTTTCGAAGTTCTACCAGCCCTACGTGAGTATCCAGCCGCCGCCGATCTGGGCGAGGGGGAGTCGTTGGCGACGGGCAGCGCCCAGCGCGGCTTCCTCAGAGCGACCCCCTCCGGCGCGCTGCGGCCCTTCTCGCGCCCCGGCCGCCTCGAGCTTCCAGACTGTCAGCCTCCCGGTGGGTGTGAGCAAGGTGCCCGCCTCCCCGCCGCGCGCTCAGCCTCCGACGTGGCTCTCGCCAGGCTGCTCCTCCGCCCGTCTGTGGGCTGGGTGGCTTCCTGGCTGCTCGGGCGAGGCCCTCGCCGGTCCGGCAGCCTCAGCCCACCTGCGACCCAGCCCCGCGAGCCCACCCGGCGCTCTTGCCTTCCTGCCGCCCGCGGCTTCACTTAGCCCGGGGGGAGGAAGACGGTGCAGAGCTCGTCCCTCTCGCCGCCCCACCTCCCTGACACCCAGCCTTTCCAGGTGGACTTCTTTCTGTTCTCCTATGGACGGACGGGCTGCTGTTTTCCACTGTAATCCTCTCATAGCGCCGGAACTTTGGCTTCCTGCGTTTTGATAACTGCACGCTTTGTACTGTCCTGTATGTTTCCATACGTGATCAACTGCCTGCTGTGACTGTCAGATGTCTCTTTATGAAGGAGAAGGATAAGTGAGGACCTAATATTTTTATCGGGCTTTTTACCTGCTGGCTGTAAATTATTTATTGTCTAAATAACTGGCCACATCTGTAATTGAGAAATTAGAACTGTGATTCTATACCGGAAAGTTAAGACTTCAGCTTCTGGCTTGGCATTTTTCTACGTAAGGGAATTTTCCCCAGTTTCCTTACACTTATGAAGAATAGTAATATTTGTAAAACTTTTAGAAGTGTAAATATTGTTTAATATTGGTAAGTGAGAAGGCTTTAAGGTAGTAAAATAAGTAGTTTATTGATGATCGAGAAAGATGACTTATGTGCTTATCTGAGGGCAAAAGTCACCAGCAGGTAAAACACAGAAAACTGGGCTCCCAGTGGCAGGATTAATGTGAGATGTAACTGTTGTGTTGCAGTGGGGCATTTTGCTTATAGCCAGAAATGAACTTCCAATTCAGTTTTGAAATTGTGCCAAGGCTAACACTTTTAAGCATATGAGTCCCAGATGGAAATCATTCTTGCCATTAAAAATTAAATGTGAAAATGTCAGTTTGCCTAAAATGATAATGCAATCTGTGGAGGTGTTAGTTGAAGTGAGAAATCTTGAGCTTATTCTTCATTTCCTTAAGTTGTTTTGCTTTTGCTAGCGATAAAGAATATTTTCTACTTTTCCTGTGTGGTTTTAATTTAGTTTAACTCAAATGCTAATGCTCTGTTTAAGAATTCTACATCGTTCTTTAATCCAGTATACAATTATAATTGATCCTTGTGAGTGAAAAAAATGCCATTAATTTTACATTGTACTCCTTTGCTTAAAATATAGTACTAGGCTTTAGGAATTTGTCTTTTCACCATTTTGCCAGTGCTATTGATTTGCAGTGTAGTAAAGGTATGTTGCAATAGTGAAATAGAATTCAAAAATTTATTTTTCTGAGGCCGGGTGTGGTGGCTCACGCCTGTAATCCTAGCACTCTGGGAGGCCAAGGCGGGCGGATTGTTTGAGCTCAGGAGTTCGAGACCAGCCTGAGCAAGAGAGAGACCCCCGTCTCTACTAAAAATAGAAAGAAATTAATCAGACAACTAAAAATATATAGAAAAAATTAGCGGGCATGGTGGCATGTGCCTGTAGTCCCAGCTACTCTAGAGGCTGAGGCAGAAGGATTGCTTGAGCCCAGGAGTGTGAGGTTGCTGTGAGCTAGGCTGACGCCACGGCACTCACTCTAACCCAGGCAAAAAGAGTGAGACTGTCCAAAAAAAAAAAAAAAAAAAATTTATTTTTCTGTATCTAAACTTAATAATTAAGCAATATTCAAATAGTAGGTTTCTTGGCTCATCTATAATGTCAATATAACCACTCCTGTAGTGTAGAATTTACCCGCAGAAAAATGAATTTAATGTGTAAATCCAGAAATATATTTTTCTCTTGTCCAACTGTGGGAACAGAAATATTTTTTACCTTCACTCAGTAGGTAGCAGTGAAAGTTAATATGGGAAGAGGCAATTCTGGCAGCAGTGGCAGCTCTTGTGGCATTTTTGGCCACTGCATGAGTGACAGGACTACTGGGGACAGGGAGTAAGGAAGTATAAAAAGAGGAATCTGGTGGTCACCGACCATGCAGAAGTGGGATGCCAGAAGTTGTTTCCATGTATTTTATAAGTTGGAGTTTGTTGTGTGTGTATTTTTGTCTTTCAGGAATAACTTAAGATAATTTATTTATATATTTGCTTTCTCCATTAGACTATAACCTGTTCGAGGGTAGATTCCTTCAGTCAGTTTGTCAGCAGATAATTATTTCATGCCTACCATGTGCAGGCACTGTTATAAAATCTTGAGATGAACAAACATAACTTCTGCTCTTGCTCTTGTGGGAGGGGCATAGACAGAACTAATAAGAAGTAAGCCATATTATAGCATGCCAGATAATAATGAATGCTGTGGGAAAAGTAAGGCAAGAAAGAGTGATAGGGTGTGTGAAGATGACAATTTAAAATAGAGTAGTCAGGTAAATTCTCACTGAGAAGGTGGCATTTGAGCAGAGACTTGAAGGAGGTAAGAAAGCCAGCCTTGGAGATATCTGGGGGAAGAGCAATCCAGGCTGTGAAACAGGCCTTCGGTATCAGGTTTTAGATTTATTTGTATCACCCCCAGAAGTCAACACTGAGTCTCGAACTTTTAGTAAAATCAGTAAATCTTTGCTAAATGCATTCCTTTAGAGTCTGCTAGCTTGAAATAGAGTTGGATTAGAATTGACTTCCTAAATTTACTTCCAACTCTTAAAATTTAGTCCTTCACGAAATAAAGGTTTTAAAAACCCATGCCTTAAAAAAAAAAATACTTAAAAACCCATGCCTTTAGCACAGAAGTAATGGAATAACTGCTACTTCAGCTGTTTGTAAGTTGGAATAAGTCTCTAAGAAATACATATCCAGTAAGACAATTGTGAGTTAAATTTATTAAGTAATATCTAGGGGTGTGACTAGACTCAAACCATACCCTGATAGGATGCTGAGGTTTGAGTCTAACAATAATGGCTTAACATTGAGTGATTTGAAAATTGTTTAACCATTTGCCAACAAATTTCCTCTATGCACTGGATTTTCATTCCCCATTTATCCTCCCTCATGATATAACACCTTATGTGTTCATCTCTACCCTTTAACAATGCAGATTTCCATTTCATACTGTAATAGATTTTTAGATTTGATCGTGCCTCCAAGCTGTTATGTGTGAGACATATGAAGTCACACACCTGTTTTGCTAAACTGAAGTTTTGGTTCATTCTGCTAGAGTCATACATTAAGAATTCAAGGGTGGACTCAGAATGCATCCCCTTTTGTTGTTGCCTTCTGTATGCTTGGGCTATGACTGCCTAAGTTCAAATGTTTTTCTTGGTTTCTCTTTTTAAATTGATGCTTAGCCACTGCTACTTGGCAACAGTAATCTTTAGTCTTTTAATATTTGCCTGACAATATATTTTTGTATTACTGTAAATGACTGAGACTTACATTTTTATAAACCAGATATATTTTTACATAGCTATCAAACAAGAAAAAGTAACAACCTTGGATTATGATTCCTGTGCTATTAATGTACCATGGCATATCCTGTGGTGAATTACTTTAATAAAGTAGTTTTTCTTTGTATGAATTGTCTTAGTTGTTCCCACTGGTATAAAAGATTATGTTTGTATATGCATGCAGGAAAATTTTCAAACTGTAATATACATGAGTTGCCTCAATTTTCTTATAAACTGTATCTGATTGTCAACCAAATGCAGACATTCTTAGGAGGAACTCTAAGATTGTTCTTTCCTTTTTTCCCATAAAAAATAGAGTATTAAAAGTATGTATAACTCTTTTTTTCTTTTTACAAAATCCTTGAGAAAGATGCATCCATGTTTACTGATGACTTTTTTTAGTGACTTTTAAGACAGTGTAGCAGATGGGATTGTTAACTTTATTTCTGTGATCAAGATATAATTGTCAACAGTTCTAAGTATTAAGGTGTTAACACATATTAACACATGGTGTTTCAGCTTTTTTTCCAAGAAGAAAATTCCAGATGATTTGGTTTTCTTCCATATTGGTTAGAATGCTTTTGTCTACATAAATTTGATTTTATGTAGCCTGACTCAAATGCTTAAAAAGAACTATGTTAGGGTACATTATAGGAAGTGCAGAGTAGTAGACAGATTCCAAAATTACTTGATCCAGCAGATCAATGACTTTATCATAGATCCAGTTTCTCTGTCTCTGCTTTACTCTTCACAGAATTACTATTCTCCAAAGGCTGATTTTCTCCTTGAAATCAGTGGTCATCAGTTCAATTCACAAAGAGAGGTGATCTGTTCC